TCCAGTAGCCTACTGTGCAGTTGACTGTAAAAACACGAGGGAAAAGTCGTTTATATTCTTACTTAAGCCAGAGCCCATAACGAAGTTAGGAAATGTGTTAGAAAGCAAAGAGACATCTCCAAGGTTAATTGTCTTTTTTTTTTTAAATGTAATTTAAAAAACATTTTCGCAGCCACTTCTGGCCAATACGCGGGTTACACGCGGCATCTCCAAGGTTAATTGTCTTTTTTTTTTTTAATGTAATTTAAAAAACATTTTCGCAGCCACTTCTGGCCAATACGCGGGTTACACGCGATATATTATAAAGTGTTCAAGATCATGAGCCGTAATGTTTATTGCACGGATTTGTTTTTTTACATTGTGATAACCGCTTTCAAGCATATATCCTAGTAGTATTAACGCGCAAGGTTTCATTAAAAAAATTATCTTAAATGCCATGTTAATAAAAAACTTTACAGTTACCATGTACACTTGATGATTGTCAAAAAATACTTGCATGCCCTCCTTTTCTATAAGCTTATTGACGAGTAAATGCCTTTGAAATATTGGCTTTATGGTAGATTGCTTTGTTAGTCCGTTATATTTTTGGTCACCCTCAATTATCAGTGATGACTAAGTATTGTCGGTCTTGTTGCAAATTATATCCAGTAGCCTACTGTGCAGTTGACTGTAAAAACACGAGGGAAAAGTCGTTTATATTCTTACTTAAGCCAGAGCCCATAACGAAGTTAGGAAATGTGTTAGAAAGCAAAGAGACATCTCCAAGGTTAATTGTCTTTTTTTTTTTAAATGTAATTTAAAAAACATTTTCGCAGCCACTTCTGGCCAATACGCGGGTTACACGCGGTATATTATAAAGTGTTCAAGATCATGAGCCGTAATGTTTATTGCACGGATTTGTTTTTTTACAGTGTGATAACCGCTTTCAAGCATATATCCTAGTAGTATTAACGCGCAAGGTTTCATTAAAAAAATTATCTTAAATGCCATGTTAATAAAAAACTTTACAGTTACCAATGTTCACTTGATGATTGTCAAAAAATACTTGCATGCCCTCCTTTTCTATAAGCTTATTGACGAGTAAATGCCTTTAAGATATTACGACGGAAACTTTTTTATTATTGATTTTACTTAAGAAAGAAAGAAAGAACGAGGGAGAAAGAGAGAAATCATATTTTGGGTCTAAAAATATTCGTCTGGTAATTTTCGATATTCTCCCCAAAATATCTGCAACTAATGTAATAGCCTATTTATCGATGATGATTACATGTAGACTATCTAATGGATGATAAATAAAAACCAAATTAATTAAATTAATAATAAATTAAAACAAAATAAATATAAAACAAAATTACTAAAAGCAGCTTAACTTATAACAAACATTTTTGTTTTACTCTAAAGAAACTGCTGTTTTCGCTCATTTTTAGCAAAAAGCTATACCGGCAGAATGAGTTTACTGCAATGATTACAGCTATGCCCATACGAGCTTTTGATTTTATTTATTTTATTTGTTTTATCGTGAAAAGTTTCACAGTGTTCGATATATTTAATGGTATTTATGACGTTTTACATTTTACAAACTTTTTTACAAAATATCTGTTCATTTGTTAATTGTCCATTTGGCTCGCAATTATTAATCGTTATTATAGTGTAGGATCCAAGATTTCAGTTGCACTAAATTTAGACGGCAAATTCTTGCAGTGTCAAAGTGCGCCTTTGATTCTCTTTCTTTCGTTTGTTGTGTTCATATATAATGTATTTCTGAAAGATTTGTGAAAGTGTAACTCAAAGGAGAGATAATATCTTCTGTGCAACATCTGAAGGAGTGGAAAATAATCTGTTGATTAAACGTTGAAATAATCTCTTTGTTGTGACTGTCTTTTTGATCATCTCAGGCAAAATACTTACATTTTAGTTTTATATAGGGCTACAATATATATTTGAATGATACATATCAAAATTAGAGAATACTCAGGAGCATCATTTACATACTAGCCTATAGCATATGTGACAACTTCATGATGTTCTCAGATCTGGGGAAAAATACAAATGAAATACAAAATTCTCTTTACAGGTGACCAGAATCTATGTGATGAAAGTGGCCTATTTTAAACATTAAAAAGTTAAATTTTATGTACAGGGCAGGCCAATAGCAAATAATGTGAGCAGACAGCTATAAATAGCTTAATCATCAGTACAAAAACAAATAAAATTCGGCACATAATACAAATAGCCTACAAAATTGATGTCTAATCAAAGAGTATGAATATGTAGCATATGTAGAATTTTTGCAGTATGAATGTATGTTTGAACGCATTTTACAGACATTAGTTCTGTAATCTCAGTTTCACCGTAGAAGCGGGTGAATTAAATAAATGAAGGCAAACATCTTTTACCCATTGAACAATGGTGACATCTTGTGGCCAGAAGGATTCATTGTCTCTTCAACAGCCTTTACTGTTTCTACAACAATGTAATAATCTTAGGTCTTACATTTTCCTAAAAACATTTTACATGGTTTATAAAGGCAATTAATAAACCAACGCACAATTTCAAAGGTCGATAGTTTAGACTATAACGCGTACACATTAAATATACTATGTTACTACTGTTAGACCCAATACCAGCCTACTAATAAATGTTAGCTCTTTGGTTGGAATGCAAGAACAAATATTTGATTAACATTCTGGAGCTAAACATATTTTCAAGGGAAACAAGAAGAAACTCCTGCTCAGGGGTTGTTATCTGAGGGATGTTCAGGTGTTGTGAGCGATGTTACTTGTATGTTCATCAGAAGAACCTCAGATTAAACATGCACTTTCACAATCCTACCACTTTGGAATAACCATGGCGACCAAACAATATGCAGAAGCAAAGCAAACTCCGAATTTGTTTATAACCGTTTTGAAGCTCTTACCTCCCTCAGAAGAACACAAGAAGCTGTACCGATGTTCAACTGTTTTCTTCCTGTTTATGGTATAGTTGCTTTATTCTACTATGCTTTTTAGGAGGTTTGGCTGTGTAGGACGTTGTTGACAGGTGAGAAATCTCGAACATTTTACACCTTCTAAACTCAAGAAAATGCGCCAAATCCAGCTTCCGACTCCATATATGGACTGGCCGCTGTGCACGCGACAGAAAAGCGCCTCAAAGCCTTCTGATTGGCTGAACAAACTGAATAGCTATTCGTGTGATATCTTGGGGTAGTTATTTCAATGGTATCTTTTAAGAAACAGGATCCAATTTTACAAAACTGTTCTGAGAGGCTGTAATGTGTGAATGTACGATGAATATGATTTAATATTTCATTCAGTCAGACTAAGTGTTAGTTGACTATCACAGCTTCTGTGGTGCATAGCTACAAACCATGAATGGTAAAGCCTTGTGCATATTTGAAGACATATGATGACCATACTAATAATGTACTGAAGCTTCTGCGATCAACCATTTTGAGTGGAAACATTTTTGGTTTAGAGATACTGGCTAAATACACGTTCACACAGATATCTTGCAGTCAAGTTGAGGGACAGAACACAATAAAAATCACACCAGGACGTCTGTGTAACTAAGAAAGCCAGTAACTTTACTGAATTCTCTGCAAAATACAAATACCTTTTTTTAGTCCCAGCAGGAGAAAATTTTTTATTCCATACATTAATTTTTACTACATACAGCTGAATCAAGTCCCTTGAGATACAGAGATGTGGTTTAATTTAATGACATCTTGTCTTCAAGTGGCGACAAAGTCCAGCTTGTGCCGCTGAAAGCCTCTTTCTCCTGGTTAGCTGTAGGTTTATACAAGCTACATTTGTTACTACAGAATTTTTCAGCATTTTTTTTTATTTTGTTATTTATATACTTAATGGAAACAACACTCCATAGAGAGAGAGAGAGAGAAACAAAAAGGTCAACCAAAAAAAACCAAAAAAAAAATCTATAAAAAAAAAAAAGAGAACGAAAAATAACCGGAGAGTCATATATGGACAGTTGAAATCTATATAACAAACAATGGCATTTTTCACAATACTGTACACACTTGTTAGTTAGAGGAGAATGTTCCCAATTCTCAACAAGACCAACTGATTGAAAGGTAATCTGAGGCACTGGGAGGGTGAGTCAGAGGTACCAGCCACTAGCATGAACAACTTGTGAAGAAACACAATGGTCTCAAACCCCAGAAAGGATAATGGATCGGCAAACATAACATCACTTTTTGTCTTTGGTAGAAAAAACAGACTAACATATGTCCTGTCAAAATCACAGAATGCACAATGATAGATATGTGTATCAACTGAACAAAACTAGTCACAATCCACTAAATGATGATACAAGCTTACACAAGCAGTCATGAGGTATCTATGACTGTGCGGTCTCATATTATAAAATCTTCAGTGCAATGTCTATTAATGTGACACTGGAAAATGTTGTGAATACTCCAGACCAAAGTGGATACCTTGTGCTTATTAAAAAAGGGGGCATATTTATGAGTGCGACTTAAATTTGAAAGCATCATTCTAAATGCATTTGCCCCTTAAAGACTCAGTCCGGTGAAGGAAAAAAAGAAGGGGAAAAGAAAGACGATTAAACGTGTGCAACTGCACATCCCCACAATGGGGAAAACGTTATGACCATAATTTGTTTATCATATATATTCATATATTAGAAAGCTATACACAAGCATGTTAATTTCACAGATTTAAAAAAAAAAAAAGATTCTTAATATTATTATTCAATATACTTAGAAATACACGTTTAAAAACAAAACTTCTACAAAGAGAAAGAGAGAAAAAAAAGAAAGACGATTAAACGTGTGCAACTGCACATCCCCACAATGGGGAAAACGTTATGACCCTAATTTGTTTATCATATATATTCATATATTAGAAAGCTATACACAAGCATGTTAATTTCACAGATTTTTAAAAAAAAAAAGATTCTTAATATTATTATTCAATATACTTAGAAATACACGTTTAAAAACAAAACTTCTACAAAGAGAAAGAGAGAAAAAAAACACTGAGCAAAGCAAGGGTTCACTGTCTTAGATTTCATGGCTTACGGTTCGAAAAGCCCAAGGTTTCTCATCTTTTTACTATCATTTCTCATATAAGCAAAGCTATCAAAACACATTCGGGCTCTTATAAACTACAAAAAGCCACAAAAATGCTTTGCATTGTATTCCTTTTTGATATGAAAATATAAGCAAGTGTATCATACAATTTTTTTTTCTCTTTTTCTTCTTTTAATACTGAACAACAACTGCAAATCCTAGGTTAAAATGTCATCAGACTGAAGTAACATGGCTCTTAATTTAAAGTCCTTCATCTCCGTCCTGCTATTTTCTTTCCTTCAGCAGGAGAGTTTTTTTTTTCCTGAAATTCCCACTCCCCCATAACTTAACCAAAGAACCTGCACATATATCTGTACAATCCTTCGAAATTCTTGCATAACAGTTATGTTTGTGTGAAATCAGCAACCTTGTCCCTTCCCCCGTGTCCCAGCCTTTTCTCTATGTACAATACGTTGAACCTGCAACATGACATTGTCACCCATAACATACATTTAGCGAAGGGGCCCTCTGAAGAGAGTGGCACTAAAAAAGGAATCTGTACATATTGTACTGGTACAACAACCCAAGTGCTAAGCTGTCACCTCCGCAATACGCTCTCTGCTGTGCTCCTCTTGTGGCTGAACATCACTGAGGCATGTACTTTACAAAAAAAAAAGAAGAAGAAGAAGATCCAAGAGTACCTGACACTTTTTGTTGGTTTGTTACTCTGCATACATGTACACCTACACAACGTGTAAATATATATGCATATATGGTAATTCTTTACATTGTATTCCACACACTGCACAAGTTATGCATAGTAACCCCACCCACTAAACCCTCCCCAGCCCTGGTGTATCAGTCCTCCTTCCCGCTTCCCTCCCTGAAAACCCGTCAATCACAACAATATGTATATCAGACACACTCTGATAAAATAATAATAATAATTAAAAAAAAAATACAGGTAATTTCGAGAGCACTTCCTCCCCTCTCTACAGCAAATCAGAGAATAAGGGAGAGCAATGATTAGCGCATGGGGAGATCGAGGTCAAGATCGAGGATGGGGCTGTCCAAGGGGGGCATGGTTTATCATGTGGCCCACCCCTCCGAGAGGCGGACACGCTTGACGGATGGGCTGTCTTGCTCATCCAGGCCGGGCCGGCCCAATCCTAACGGCGAATGGAAGTCGGGACGGTGGTCGTCGCGGTCGCTGCCTTCATGCGAGCTGCCGCAGCTGCTGAGGCTGTCGGCCGGGGAGCGGCCCGAGTCCTGTCGCCCCTGTGGGGGAGGGCCCTGGTGCTGCTGGTGGGACGGTAGCGGGCCGTAGCCGGCAGGCGTGGTGCTGCTGGATCGATCTCTAGGAGGAGAAACAGGTTCGGACTTGATGTGCAGGCTTTGAGTAGAGGGCAGGGAGAGATTTGAACCCTGACATAAGTGAGTGCTAGAGCAATTTCTGTAGGAAGGAAAGGAAATGAAGGGGGTTACGGATCGGAACGAGTGCTGGTGCACTCCTGTACACAGGTGCCAAAGATACAATCAAAACACTGGCATTTCTTTAACAATACTTCAACTATTGCAGAATTGTGAAAAGTTGTCTATACAGTGCCAAAGAACAGTAAGGGTGAGAGAAAGTTGCACATATTAAGTGTGTAAGAATTAAAACAGGCTATTTGACAGTAATAGGTAAATATAGGTAATTAAGTGCATGTGTGTTTGTGTTTGGACTTACCCCAGCTGACTGAGAGCAGAGTGCTGCATGTTCTGGATCTGATGCTGTTGCCATCCACTCATTGAACCCAGATGCAGAGTGTTGGCACTGTTAAAGCCAGATATCGAGGAGAGATCCGCACTGCTCAGAGAATATTCTAAAAGAAAACACATGACCTGGGTTAACGTTTGCATCCTAAACTGTAGTGCTGCTTATTTGGATAACAATGTCTCCGCCTGCTGGAGAGGCAGAGCTATTACATGCAGAATCGACAAATCAATGAGATTCTGTATTCAGTGTAGGTTTAATGCAGTAATATCCAATAAATAAATAAATAAAAACCATAATAATAAATAAAATAAATTAAGAAAAAATAAGAAATTCTAATTCCAATAATCTACACACATCTATACACATCTATACATGTTATTTTCAAAGATTTTTAAAAAAAGTTTAATTGTTATATTTAGTAATAACGTTATATTTAATACTGCAATATTGTTATAATTAGAAATACACATAAAAAAAAAAATTCTACAAAGAGAGAGAGAAAAAAATCATTAAGCGAAGTAAGATTCACTGTCTCAAATTTCATGGTTTATGTTGAAAAGCTCAAGATTTCTGTTTCTTTTACTATCATTTCTCTTTTACATCCATAATAGACAATGAATCAATCCTGCATAGAGATTCATTCATTTAGTCCGGGTTTAATAAAGTAAAATATACATTAAAAATGAAATAAGTAAATGAATAAATAAACAAATTAAAAGTTTAAATGTATTCATTCTTTATGCTAATGATGTCATTTTACAGTAATTAGTAATAGATCATTAGTAATAGATCACTGAACGGTATTTTAGATTGTAATTTTAGCAGTAATTATTATATTATTTGTAAAATAAACATTTTTAATTGTATTTATTAATAAACATTAAACATTAAAGTGATATAACTATAAAAATAATAAATATTTAAATATTCTGCTTCAGATGTGAAATGTGTATATAGTACAAAGTGTACTCATTGTTCGTGTTTGTGAATATAGTTTTATGGCAGGTCAAGTTCTACCTACCAGTACCATATGATGTGGAAATGGCTGATGGGTAGCCGCCCATTCCCTGTCCCGGTAGAGTAGGCGTCGCTACAGAAACCACGGGGGTCGCCAGTGACTGCGCAGACTGGGAGTTGTTTATTCTCTGATTCTATAAGAAGAGGAAGAGAGCAGAGGAACACATATAGATGACTTGTCACGTCAACAGACTTGAACATATCTGTATCTACAACAAAGCACCCCCCCCCCCACACACAAAAAATAAATAATGAACAAAAAAATAATCACTTGACATGAAGCACCACTGAAGCCTCTCAACCTATGATTTACAATTCCTCATAGGGCACTGGTCGCTATAGAAACTCAAGGTCTCCAAGGCAACAGAGGGGTTGGAGGTGTTTTTTCCTCTTTTGTCCTGCTGGCATGATGACTGAATGATGTGATACAGATTAAGAAAAGCAGAGGTGGAGATGGAGAGGTCAATAAGACCTGAAAATGAGGCTCTTATGACCACTAGATGTCACTCTGGAGCTTGGCTGTGTAAATGTTCCTTATTCACTAACACGACTTTTACAGGTCAGCATGTGCACTATATTGGCATAAGAACAATAAGCTAAACAACATCTGAGGGCACGCTATTCGTTTTTTATGCACATAAGGATGACAAATGCCCTTCGTGTCTATTAGCCCGTGTCACGGGTTTGAGTGACAGTGTCACTTACCAATAGAAGGTCAATATCCTCAGACTGATGGCAGTAAAGGGAGGGTGATAAATCCAGAATTAGTGAAGCTGATGGCCACCTATGAGACTATGTGAACCTACAGGTAAGCACTTTGCTAAACAACACCAAAGCTGAGGAGACTGATTATGAAGGACTCTAACCAATTTTTTTAGTTTATGAAACTACTGGAGAGGAAATGAAATGAAAGGAGAGGAGAACCACGGACGACTATGAAGGAACTGAGGTGCATGGGTTGTATCATCAGGGCTCTTAGTAAGATTTAATACAACACACTGTGATGAACTCACAATAGAGGGCATGTTGTTCTTGGCCCCGGGTGGGATGAGAACTCGTAGGTCAGGTTTACGGCTGTTCATCCCCAGGTTCACTGGTGGAGGGGACTTGGCCTGCATGCTCTTGTTCATGCCTCCGGAGGACACCAGAAGTCCTGGAGAGTTACGGTGGTTTCCATAGCCATTTCCTAATGCGAGACAGAAAGGGAGGGAAAAAGGCGTTAAGACACAAGAGAACCAAATTAAGTACATCAAACTTTCACCATGCCACACAATTTAAGCAAGCTTCATTTGACTCTCTCGCCTGCACCAGAATGCACCATTTCCACCGTCATCTACTGTGAAGCCTCTATTCAAGCCTGTCTGCAGCTCTCCACACGGTTCCAGTGAGCCTTCACCACATGCAGCCATTAAACACTGTTTTATCCGTTCTGGAGTATTGCAACCATCTTTCACCAAGAATGTGCTCTTTCAATTCGATGTTTCCACACCATTTCACACAACTTTCACCTCCACCACCACTCATTCATTTGTACCAAGCACTTGGTAAAAACACCCTCTCATTCACCCTTCATCAAACCAAACCAGACTAATTCAGCCTCCCCAAATCACCCCATCACGCTCGGATGATTTTCACTCATGAATCATTATATATCATTATGATTCAAAATATGTTTTTTGTCGGCCTCTGGGTAAAAAGATCCAAGTTCCCAGTTCAACTGATTATCAAGGATAAGCTACATAATTTTCGTGAAATTCTTGAAAGGTAGGACAAAATGTTTTAAAAACAGCAACATTTTCACTTTGAAATTAATATGAGATACCATTACATTATTTTATTTATCCAAATTATTACATTATCACTCATTAGATGTCAAATCTGTAATAACTCAATACTTCATATAGATTAAAAATATATGAATCTTATTAATCTTATACTCAGAAATGTAAAAGGCGTGTTAAAATAAAGCAAAACAAATAAAATAAAATACTGTTTTGAAATCTTTTTTTAAAAAATTGTCATATATAGTGATGTAAAGTGCTCAAAAAACAGCTTTGAACAGCCATAATTCATTCTTTGCAGTGGGGATAAGGAAATAACTCAGCATTTGATCACCAAATGCATTTGAACAAAACAAAACAAAACAAAACAAAACATAAAACCACAAAACATAAAACATAAAACATAAAACAAAACATAGAACATAAAAACATAAAACATAAAACAAAAAACAAAAAACAAAACAAAACAAAGCAAAAACAAAAACAAACAAAAAACAAAACAAAAAACAATCACTGGTAAGATTAATGGTTTAATTCATTATTATTATTCATTATTTGTCATTAATTGCGCTAATATTTTCTATAAAGTATAAAAAATGTAACTTGGTGAAAAATATGATTTAAGTCTAGTCTCTCTAAAGAGTGCAAAGGTCTATGTGCAGCTAAATGTAAAGAGGATGAGGTGTTTGGTCTTAAGCTAAATCGAATTCATGACAGATTGCTTGAGAATGTTTCTGTTTCTGAGCAAACTGTTGCAGCATCACGTCTCTTTAAAAAAGTTGAGAGATGAAAATGTGGAGTGTGGGTAGATGAAGAGAAAGAGAGAGGAGAGAGATGAGGCTCATTTGTTTCTCTCGTGGCTTTGCGGTAAGGAGTCAGGTGTTTGATGAATAGAGACAGGTGGCATTGGTTGGTACTTTAAGAGCTAGTGTCAAATGAGTGCAAAACAGTAAAAGCTTCATCAGAAAGCTCATTAAAAAAAAAAAAAAATTTTAAAAATGTTATTTTTTGACAAAAACATTGATGTTTTTGTTCTTCATGTTAGACAAATTAATTTCCTTATTTGGAATGAATAAAAATCCTGCAAATACAATACAATATGAGGGAGAAAATGGATTTTGAATGATATTCCAGTCATTTCCGGACCCTTTATTTCAACTGTAAAGGATCTCTCCAAGTCCCATCTGGTCTGGAGCACAATGGGAAGGTTGCCACTATCACATCTCATTTCCCAAGGCAGCAGACTCTATAAATGACATAAAATCCATGGCCCTTAACTATTGACACTGAAGGCCATCATTTGGCAATCAATGATAAATACATGTGTGCACATGTGGCTTTCACTTATGACTACCAGAAGTGGATCAGACAAGCAATCTTTATTCTTCATCCACAATTGCTAACCCGACTTCATCATCTCCAAAGAACCAGAGGAGTACATTATACTGGAAAAAATACAGAGTACAGAGTCTTTGTTTCAATCCAAATCCCTCTATTTTTTTTTTTTTTGCTTTCGAAGGGGAAAATGTGGAGTGCTGCATGGCTTTTGCCACTTAAAAGAGGGTTAGGAATTATACGGTAGACATAAATGAATTTCCCAATCATACACTCGAGAGGAAAACTAGATGCAGATGTCGTCCTCGGCAATTTCGCCATGGTGATTTTTCTTTAATTTGAAGGCGATGGTTTTTGTTGTTTTCAAATGAGAAGTCTTGAAAGCGCAATTTGCACGATTCAAGGAAAATAAGGAGGACATGAGTTGGGAACCAGGAAGAGTAACTGTGATTGTGAGAGATTGTGTTTGTACAAGTGTGAGCGGGTGGATGTTAGTGCCATGTGCACTGATACATTTCCTGTCTCCTCATACATAGTGAAGTACGGGGCTCGAAAAACAGCTGGCTGGAGCTCTTCTCTAAACACTTAAACAGCTACACTTCATTGTTCACAGTGGAGATGAGGAAATAACACCGCATTTGATCCCATGCATTTGATAAAAATATATTCCCACACTTAAATTAATATTAGGGGTTCAGTGCAAGTTGAGCTCAATCCACAGCACTTGTGGCATAATGTTGATAAACTTTTTTTCTCTCTAAAATACTACTACTACTACTACTACTACTACTAATAATAATAATATAAAAAGTAGTAATTATAAAAATCTTCCCCTAGTGAAAGTAGGGGAAATTTTAAATGAACTAAAATGCATTTTAAATACATTTATTTCATGCTAAGTATATTACAAATGCATTTACATATGTATGTACTTAATAAATACCCTGCAGTTGTACTTTTAGTATACTAAACTGGTATACTTAAAGTCTGCTAAATTGGAACAACTAATTTTGCACTTAACGCACTTCAGTTGTGCGGAAGTAGTGCTGAAGTCCAACTAAAGATATACTGAAGTATATTTGATTGTCCTAAAGTGGAACAATTGCAAGTATACTTTAAATATCTTGTATTTAAAGACTGATATTATTCAAAGATCATACAATCCTCATTAACAGTGACATTAAAACACATGTTAGGTTTAATATTAAGAAATATGCATTGTGCAAAAGTAGTACTCCAAATACAGTTTAATTATTATTTAATATCATTAAGTCTCAAGCAATATGTCACTAAATATGTTAACAGATTTGAACTATACTTAGTATGAAATAAATGCATTTTAAATATATTACTTTTTTACCAGGGTCATAACAGTGAGAAACTTACAATGGAAATAACTGGGGCCAATTTGTAAACATTAAAATCACTTTTTTTCTATAGTATAGCCACAAGACAATAACAATATGCATGTTGACATGATTATAGTGAGAAAAAAATGGCTTACTAAAACTTGGTCAATACACAGTTTTAACAGATTAATGAATGTTCGTGCTTTTATAAAATTATATGCTTAACATATCTGCTTTTAAATCCTTAAAAAAACTGTTTCCATTCACTTCCATTATAAGTGTCTAACCTTAATTTTGATATGTGTATACTTATGTCTTGTACTGAAATCTTCATTTAAGGTCTTTCAACAAATCGGGCCATATATAAGGTTCAGTGTATATCTGTGTATTTTGAACTTTTTTAGCTTTAAGCCATTTGACAAATGCACCGTCATTAATGATCAGCAACACCAAGCAAGAGTTAAAGTGACCCGTCGAGAGCAGACAGACGGAGACGACAAGTTCAACTAAGGATGTGTGCTAGACACCGCTGATGAATGAGCCTCGGCGACATGATTTATGGATCAGAAGCAGCACAGCTGGGATTCAGGTGGCCAATAAGTAGCACAAAACTCATTTCTCTCATGCTATTCACTGACTTTTACAGTTGTTTGTTCTAGAAGGCATCTGAGAGCCAAAACCAGTGCGCTAGGCCACAACAGTGTCCATCTTCTGACGCACACCGTTTCCCTCGCAAAAGCCACACAAGTCTCTTCCCTGTGTGCTCGTGGCCCAGCTATCGCCCTCACAATGGGGAAGTACTAAAATTACAGCTGCCCAGAAACGAGCGGTCCCCTCCTCACACACAAATCGGCTGATGTGTACACATGATAAAGGAGGCGATTCTATTTCTGGGGCTCCACAGAGGAGGCTTAACTGTAAATGGACTTGGTCTAAGTTTCCACTCAGTGTCAAAGCAAGCTGACCGGCTAGTGTGGTTAAGTACATGCTCGCTTTCCCTGCGAGTTGGAACGTCTCTGATTTCTTGTTGTGGTGTAACGGCCTCATTTAATCCTGTTGTCCGTGTTTGTTGATTCGGTGTTGAGGTTTCAGGCCAGCCCTGGTTCTAGCAACTGAAATAATTTCAGAGGTGTGCTAGGAGCAGATGCCCGGAAACAGTAAATTAACAAGAAAAAAACACAAAGAAAAACTCTGCTATGAGACTCCACCTAAGAGGTAAAAAAAGACTGGCCGCTTCACTTTCTCATGTGTTGGCTGACCTCTCCGTATCTCATAGCACAACCCAACGTGTCACAGATACATAAATACACGTAGCAGAGGATTTGCGGTCGTCTGAGAATGCCAGGGTGCCTGCCGAACAAATAACTGTCTGCGACAAACATCATACCATGACAAACTTTTTCTGGAACATGCTGGCAAAACAACAGTACATAGTGTAACTTGGGAAAAAATCATTCAAATATATTAAATATATATACAGACGCACTACTATTCAATTTTTTTCTTTAATGTTTATGCCTTTTATGTCCACCAAGGCTGAATGTATTTGATAAAAAAAAGTGAATAATATTACAATCTAAAATAACTGTTTTCTTTTTATCGATATTTTAAAATGTAACTTATTCCTGTGATGGCAAAGCTGAAGTCTTCAGTGTCACGTGATCTTTCAGAAATCATACTAATAATATGCTGATTCGGTGCTAAAGTAAAATTTCTTCTTATTATCAATGTTGCAAAACAGTTGCTTTTTATTTTGTGGAAATTATGATACATTTTTGTCAGGAATCTTTGATCATTAGAAAGTTCAAAAGACGGGATTTATTTGAAACATCATTTTTTTTGGTAACTTTTCTCCTTTGATTAATGTAATGCATTCTTGCTGAATAAATGTATTCAGTTTTTATACTCTATTGAATAGCATTAAGAATCAAGAGGTAACTAAGGGAGAAAGGAAAAAAGACTTGACTATTCTCTATTAGACCATTCAAACTGAGGCCGTTTGTGTCGTTTGACTCTCTTCGACTCTTGTTTCCAGAGTTGTGGCCTACATCAACTCCACACTGTGCCCTGTGTTAGCCTGTAGTCGGCACAATGGCTATATTTGATGGCTGTAGACCTTGAATGTGGACAGCAGGGCCACACTAACAAGTGGTACTTTTGTGCATTCGAGACAGTGAAGAGAGGGGGTCAGTTGACAGATCTCACCCTTACCCTCATACAATAGACCCCGGGCCAGACAAGGTTACCCAGCTGTGTCCCAGCAACCCAAAAGCCAAGTTCAAAACATCTACTGTCCTGCTTTAAATATCCAAGCCACGCTTCTGTAGTGACCACTGGTTAGTGGTTAAGACCGGCAGAGCTGCACACACATGCAGACGCAAACAGATGCGCAGACACGCATACACAGGCGTCCACATAGACTCGGAGGCAACCACAAGTCAAAGCACCACTGCGACTGTACAACTATCCCTTTCAAGTGGATTGTTCGTGTATACATAAACTCATATACAAACGTTTCAAATGCACTGGGCTACTAGATGGTAACATATTCTAAGTATGTTTCACTCCAAACATACGATGGTCGTTATCCTACAAAAGACATACAGCAGAAGTACAGGGTGAGAGGAGAGTTGTGTGCTATCATGTTCAAACAGTGCAGCATCTGGTTAATGCCAATATGCTTGTTTACCTCTTTACTAATAAAAAACTCTGATATTTACAAAGCTTATAGGGACAAACTATATTAAAGAGCACACAAGAAGACTGTGCGCAGGTGATTTCACCAAATCTGACAAAGTCAGCAAGAATATTGTTTAAAGCAAATACTAAAAGTTTTAGGGTCATTAAGATTTTTTTTTCGTATGGAGTTTTAATTGAGCAAGGATGCATTAAATTGATCAAAAATGACAGTAAAGATATTTATAATGTTACAAAATATTTCTATTTCATATAAATGCTATGCTTGTGAACCTTCTATTCATCAAAAAAGTATTATGGTTTCCACAAAAAAATATTAATCAGTAATCAGTACAACTGTTTTGATCATTAATAATAATATGAAATCAGCATATTTGAGTGATTTCTGAAGGATCATGTGACACTGAAGACTGGAGTAATGCCTGCTGGAAATTCAGCTTTGTGGTAATATGAATAAATTATTAAATATATTAAATTAAAATAATTAATATATTTTACACTTTTTTTTAAAACAGAAAAAAAAAATGAAATCAGCATATTTAAGTGATTTCTGAAGGATCATGTGACACTGAAGACTGGAGTAATGGCTGCTGGAAATTCAGCTTTGTGGACATAGGAATAAATTATTAAATATATTAAATTTAAAAATGAATATATTTTACACTTTTAAAATAGAAAAAAATATATAATATATAATATGTTAATATATTAATTAATATAGAAAACAGCTATTTTATAAAATTATAATACATTTATTTTTAAATTGTAATAACATTTCACAATGATACACTTTTTACAGTATTTTTGATCAAATAAATGCAGCATCAAAAACATTAAAAATCTTACCAACCCTAAATAACTTTTGAAGGTATTGTATATGCCATTTGATACACACATTAGAACAAAAACAATAATGTACAGTAATTATTTTGCAGGAATTGCAGTGAAAAAATATTTTCAGTTACTGTGGCTATTGGGTTTGAACCAATCCAGTTCAGCTCAGGTCACTTAATGACTGAAGTCTGCAAAGAAATGACTGTGAATACAAGCCCAGCTTATACAAACAGAACGTTCTGCTGAAAATTTGCGAGGCTGGTTAGAGCTAGAAGAGAATTTGTGCAGTTATTGGCTGAGTAAAAGTTGTGATGGAGAGGGAACATACTGTAGTATATGGGGATGCCGTCCTTACCAGCACTGGTGCCCACGCCAGTGGAGAGATCAGTGCCCATCAGACCACCTAGCATGGGAAGAGAAAGACAGAAAGAGAGAGATTTCAGTCACTTCACTGCAACTGACATCCACATCCTACCACAAAATCTTCCTTCTTAAAACTGTCAGGTCATTTATTCAACTCCCTCAAGCTACAGAGATCTTCCTCCCTCCCAGCACGTTTAAGAGCGATGGAGACCGAAAGACAAATATAAGGTGACAGAGATGTGTGTGTGTGTGTCTGAGAAGAACAAAACACTGTCCTTTTCCACCTCAGCACACTTTTCTGAGGGGGAAGCGATGTGGCCGGCGGGGCTCGGCCGCGGTGTCCAAGAAAAATTACACATTTTTATTTTTAAGCATGCATGGGAGCAAGTGTGGTCAGAGGCGTGCAGGCTGGGCCAAAACTCATATTTAGCTAAGCGCTCCTGGAATACAGAGCTGATTGCATCAGGAGAAAGCAGTTTTAATGACAGCGCTGTGGGTGAGAGACTCTGGCTAATGAAGCAAGACAACACAACAATAACAAATGGCCAATGGGATCGTGCTCTACGAACATCGGTCATGGGGAATTACAGACGAAAAGACAAATGGAGAGAAATATAGGGGAATTATGCTGATTATTAAATTAAATATTAGTAATAGATAATTAAGTACATTTAAAAAAAAAATTGAAGTCAGCATGAAAGAGAATTTTTAATTTTAAGATTATTTTAAAATAGTATATTTTTTCTTGTCTGAAAAAAAGTGTAGAAACGATTTTCACACACATTTTTTGTAAACAATTAAAAATATCTGAAAAATACTTTTTTCAATAATCTTTGTTTTATTTACAGCTTAAATTTTTTTTCAGTGTTGGTTACATCAGCAAAATAGAAAAGTTGTTTCAGTGCCAACTGAAAGTTATTATATTTTAAAGATACATTTTTTTTTTCTAGACAAACTGTATCCTATGTGTTTTTACCTGCACTAGGTGGTCTGTGTGTGACCCCGGGTGACATGCTGTTTCTCTGCAGGCCGTGGTGGGCCAGTGGAAGCAGGTTATGATTGCCTGGGTATATCTGGTTATTCACGGGGATGGGCATCTCGTAGGTGGAAGAGGGCACAGCCTGGTTGGAGACAGAAGCAGTACATACACCATTAAGATAATTAGTAATATAAACTACAATAATAATGGTAAAACAAAGAGTTAAACACATTGAATACAAAGGAGAAGTGAAAAAAAAACAAGATAGAAATGAGACATTTTGACAAATATGTTGCATGCAATGGCTTCAATCCTTAGAGCTCCTGAGAAGTATTTCAGTCCATTTTCTCTGTTATCTACCGTAAATGAACATGCCGAGATGACTCTAAAGTCTCTAAATCTCTGTAAATCCTCTTGTTCGCATCACTCCAAAAGATACAGGCTTAACCTTGAAGAGACATCTTCCTCCTTCATATGATGTTTTAAGGACAAAATAGCCCCTAATTGTAGCCATGTGTCCTGAGGGTCTGTAAGTGCTCATCTGGGAAAGCATCAACTGACAGAAACCGAAGAGGAGCCTCTCCCTCTTTCTCACTCTTTCATTCTTCATTAACTCACAAGGCTACAGCAATCATGGCTTGAGGCAGCCAAATATTTTCTCTCCGCAGTGAAGGTCTTGGTGGGCACTGCTTCACTTTCGTTAGGTGTTCATTATTCCGTCTTTACCCTCATGTTCTCTTTGGAGTCTCAGAGACCCCAAGGCCCTTTTAATAGCTTGAAAAATTATTAGTCTGATGCTTCATGACTTTTTCTAATCTTATGAGAACTGATTATAAACCAAATTCTAATCTGATAACACCAACCATTTATTGTATTTTTGCTGGAGTAAAAGTCAAATATGTTATTAGATCTCATTTCTTAAAAAATGCATGTCTAGATTCTGAAAAAAAACAGAAGGATACTGTTTCAATAATACCAAACATAAAAAAAATACTTCTTTAACACAATTACATGATTTAGTCAATCTAAACAGAACATGAAAGAATCTTTAGCATTTTTGTGCAACTATCCTAGACTGCAGCCTTTCTTCTTTCTTGTGTCTTTATTTTTTTTTCTATGAAAAAGCTTTCCATATCTTTATGTGTACGTGAGCCTTGGCATCTTCTGCATGGTGCCACTCTTCCTCTTTGTGCTACTGGGAAAATATATAGATAGACAGATAGATAGATAGATAGATAGATAGATAGATGACACACATGAGTAGGAAAGCATATGCATCTTAAAGGTCTGCAAATAAATTAGTTTGAATCAATCAGGCTGTTGGTTCAGACATGTAATGAAGAGTATCTATTTCTGAACACCAATCAGTGAAAGGCCTTCCAACACACACACACAAAAAAAACCACTCTGGAGGTTAATATGACTGTATTTCTTACAGTAATTGTCATTGTGCTTCTTCTCGTTTTAGTCATATCTCAAATGTGCAATTATCTCCCATGCATCCATTACAAATTCTAGCTATACTACATCTGCATGAGTTCTATATATTGTACATATGGTTAAATCAAGATGAGAATGAATTGCTTTGTTTTTCAAATATGTATGTTAGCTTTGCTAGCTTTTTCATAGAGCTGTTAGTTTTCCGCCTCTCCTCTCTTCACTGTACTTACAGGTATCGTCTGAGTCTTGATCATTAGATCAAACTCTTCGTTAATCTGTTTGTATTTCTCCTCCGTGCACGGAGTGAGAGCGAGAGCAGACTCGAGCTCCAGGCTCTCGCCGCCTTTGTTCTCCTTCTTGCTCAACGCCTGAAGGCCCGTGCGGGGCGAACAGTGAGCCAGAGCACACGGAGAGAGAGAAAAAAAGAGAAAGAGAAAGAAGAATGAGAGGGCTTGTCTGAGATGCAGGTACTTACACATATCCTCTGTCTGCTGATCATGTGCAGATCAATGTCTTCGTTGATTTTACGGTACTTGTCCTCTGACTCTGGGCTATGGCCCACCGAGTCGTCTGCGTCGGGGTCTGGGCTGTCACAGCCATTTAGACCCTTCTTTCTCAGGGTCTGTAAATACAAGTTTGCACACAGTTCAAATACCAACCACCATGAAGACCCTCAGGTGGGTTTCATACAAGTTGTATTTAGACAGGATTAAAAAATGAAGTTGAAAATCATTCACGTAGAGCCCACTTCAGAATTTAGGGGAAACTATCTCAAAATAATTATGTATAGTTATATACAGTATCATTGAAATGTTTGAGATCAGAAGATATTAGAAAATATTAAATAGCACAACTGTTTGTAAAATTGATGATAACATTCCATCCTAGGAATATATTACATTTTAAAATATATTTGAAAAGAAAATGGTTATTTTAAATTGTAACAATATTTCACAATATTACTGTTTATATTATATCAAATAAATGCCGCCTGGTGAGCATTAAAAACTTCTTCCAACAATATTTTACCAAAATATTCTTTCAAAAATATTTTATTCCTTATAACTTTATTCTCTCACCAACCTCAAACTTTTCAATGGTAAAATCTATATTTAATATAACAATACAATATTTAAATTTTATTCTCTCACCAACCCCAAACTTCTGAATGGTAAAGTATGCTCAGTTATACTCGATTAATAAAAATATGAGTCAACTTGTGTTTGAGAACCGCTAGTGCTGAATCTTTAAAAGGGTTGCTAATAAAGAAATTCAAGCTGATGGTTTATTTTCCAGAATTCTTTCATGTCTTGTTTGTTTTTAGATTATTTGCTTAAGGTCATGTTATTTATATTTATGCAATATACAATAATCATAAATATTCCTTGTAAGCTGTTGAGAGACAACAGGATACACATACAGGAAGGGCCAACCTAAAATATAAGCAGCAGTTTCTCTCTCTGCCACCTGATGGCCACCTTCTAGTAGGAATGAGATCTTCCTCTCACAGTAGAGTCAATCTATGAGTGAGTGTCCGCCAATTGGGAAATGTTACTTTAATATTAACACTTAAAAAAAGAAAACTTCTAATTACTAATAATTTAATATAAGCTATTGTGCTAATTGAATGTAGTTAAAGCTTCTACCGTCCTAGATGATATAAAATTAGCAGAAATTCTGTGAGGGACACAATGTTTTTGTGAAAATAAGAAAAGAAGAAATAAAAACACGAGTCTTTAACTGTCATTATCTGCACAAGGTTCTCGAGGAGTCTTGCATCTCATCAAAGCGAGATGTTCCACTGGATCAACTGTCTTTAAGTGTGGCGGGATATTAACCAGCAGCTAACATATGTGCAGCTCACGCTCTCACACACAGTCCTTCTCTGCCTTCATCTGCCTGTCTGCATCAATCACACGATAATTAATTTACTCTGCTGACGTGAGGGCTTGATGAAGACGGGTTTCTCATCCTCTTTTCTTTGCTATGACATGCTTCTATTAGGTGTTGTGGGATTGTGTGGAGAGCGCAATGTGTGATGAGAGCTTTTTTTTATTCCTTAATACATATTGAGCTGATCAAATGCTTTGAAGACGAGTCCCGGCATGGCTGTTTTGTGAGATTGAAACAGAAAATGATGGAAAATTTGAGATATGGTGTCTCAGTCAGTAAAAAAGATAAAGTAAAAAACTACAGTTTTTCTGCATGTTTGATTCAATTTGTTACTTTACCATTTCTTTATAATTGTTTGTGAAAATTACTAGCGATTTCTGACTTCAAATAAAATTGGTTACTTTATTTTTTGCCTCAAATTATAGTTTGCCCCCTAACTAGCAGAACTCAGGTACTGCCTCGGCGATGGGGTGGAGGGAAGATTACGGTGTAGAGCGGCCAGCGTCGATCTGAGGCAGAGGAGTACGAAGAGGCAGAGAAGACTGGAGTGTGCTGATGGGAGGGAATGCTGGCTGAGCGAGCACTCAAGCAGGGATAGGCAGTTTAAGACCCAGCATGCAGCCGCTGTGAACCCCCTAAAGGTCCACCGCTATGCCACTCATTCCAGATATGTGCACCTGTCAGAGTATCCACACCTGTCATCAGCCCTCTCTCTTTCTCTCACACACACACACATGCATATTCTGCCATAGGGAGATAGAGTTAGCCAATCACAGCAAGTATGCTGAAGATGGCCATAAATGGCTAAACAAACACCCATTCCTCAGAGAAAAAGAGAAATACTCAGATGTTGCTCTTTCATAGCTCAGGAGGTTTGGTGGAGGTCTCAGTTATACATCTTTGAAGCATCATATTTTTCTCAGGTTCACTTAAATTAAAAATAGAGTGAGACATACAGTAAGAATACAGAGCAATACTATTAATTATCACAGATAACAACGGATTATGTGGCGTCTTGGCAAATATGTGCATACTTTTGATTACCAGGGTCCTTTTCTTAGTAGAAGTAGATTTAAGCAAAAGTCTCTATTTGAACTTCATTTCATCTCATTGCTGAGAAAAAAAAAATGGAGACTTTAAAAAGATCTAATTTAAAAATGTATAAATTATGTAAACCATGAATACATTTAGTTTATATATTAAAACAGGTCATAATAATAATAAATGAATAAATGTTGTAATAATATAATGTACATTTTATAAATAAAATAATTAAATGTAATGTTTAATAATTTGTTTAACTCTTGGACAAGAATCTTTCAAGGTCAGCCACTGACAACAGATCCATTTGTTCCACATCAGGTTACAAGGGTCTGCTTCTAGGAAGAAGTATGAGATATAAGCAAAAGTCTCTATTTGAACTCCATTTAATGACATTGCTTTCTAGGAGAAACAATTGAGATTTTAAAGAGATCCCATTAGTAATTTTTCTTTCCTATGGGTTTTATAATGACTCACTCATAATCACTCCCATTTCTGAAGGGAAGCAAAACGCACAGCCAATGCAATTGATTTCCCAGGAAGCAACAGCAACATTAATGCTTCCAGTTTGCCGATCTAAAAATAAGATACAGTAGACAACAAATACCCTGTACTTGGACCAAGCAGCAAGAACATTCTAACGCCTTAATAGCTCCGCAAGATGAAAGCTGTGTGATCGTCCTTCCAAAACATTATCGATGAGGAGTAATCAATCAAACAAAGTGGAAAATGGCCAGGCGGGGGGTGAGGTGGCTTGATAAAAAGCTAAAATGCACAGAGATAGTCAATAGAGAGCTGTGAAGGGATGAGCGGCTGGAGGCTTCTGAGAATCAAGAATCAGTGGAGACAAGGAAGGGAAAAGAGTGGGAAGGAATGTCTCCTTCAATGGTGTGCTCCTAATTAAACTCCTTCATACTTCTCATCCCTCCTGGCTCCTTCTGTCAGACCTCCTCTCCGGGCTGAAGCCTAAATAATGGACTGATATCAACTATGGTCTTGCAATTCCAGCTGTAATCAAGCCAGAGAAACTCTAGCTCGAGTAGCCAAAGACGATTCCCAACTGTCTTCACTACTGATCATTTTACTCTGGCCTCTTTTTAAAATCTGAACAGTGTCCAGTGCTCATTTAGACATCTAGTTAAAACCAGGCCAGATTGATGAGGGAGTCTGACCCAGACAGACCTCATGGTTTATTTTCAAGAGGATTTCGGTTGTGGAATAGAGCTGACAGGTTTGCATGAAGGTCCAGAGAAAGTCCCACATTCAATATACTCTGCTTATCGAGACCAGGAGATAGGAGGACAGACAAGCTTTTTTATATGATTTGACAACAAATTAAAAAAAATCAAACAGCTTCTTTCTGTTCTTTCCTGAATTCAAGCTGTCTTCTGTGTAGGGCTGCACAATGAATCATATTTTATTTGTGATGGAGAATTTCTGCTTATCTCGAATAATTAAGCATAATTGTCTTGCGATATTTGGTCACTGGTTGTGTATCCTTAAAACATTTTTTTTTCCATTTGACATTTACTTTGTCTTGCATTGGTAACAAGCCAAACATGAATCTCAACAATATATTTTTTTTGTGATTGTAGTTGCTGAATCAATGCACTTATGAAAACTCTGTGCTACAACGCAAAGTCTTCCTATTTGTTTTAATAGAAAATAGTAGTGATGTCAAATGATTAATCGCGATTAATCGCATCCAAAATAAAAGTTTTTGTTTACATAATATATGTGTGTATACTGTGTATATTTATTATGTATACAAACACATGCATGTATATATTTAAGAAAAATATGTTATGTTTATATATTAAATATATTTATATATAATATAAAATATAAGTATATGAATATATAAATGTATAAACATGTAAATATTTTCAAAATATATACTGTATGTGTGTGTATTTCTATATACATAATAAATATACACATTACACATACATATATAATGTAAACAAAAACTTTTACTTTGGAAGCGACTAATCGCGATTAATCGTTTGACAGCACTAGAAAAATTTTAACAATTTGAAATTACTGGAATTATTATTAGGAATTTCACCGTTTAAGCTTTAAAGATAAAATTTTCAATATTGATAATGTATAGAGTGTGTTAATGTATATGATTAATATATCAACTCAGGAAACTAGATGAAGTCAAATAAACCCTTGACGTTCTCTTGATTTGTGATTACATGAAAGTGCAATAATTCAGATTAAATGTAAAATAAATTTCTCACATAAGAACAATTGTGATTAATAATCACAATATAATCATTTGCAGAGTAGAGCAGAGTAAAAACAAATGTTTAACCATTATCATGCATCCCTATTTCTATCTGTGGAAGGTCACTTGTTGCTCTCTCTCCACTTTTAAACCATTTTTGTGCTCCTGTCGGACAGATCCAAAAAAACTTATGCTAATAATCAAACTTTGCACTGTAACTTTGAGGTCCAAGTGGAACATTTACATTTGTTTTCATTAGCTCACGTTAGTGGTTCACAAAAAAGACATAATTTCACACAGAGGTCTATTTTGGCAGATCAGTGACTCTCCTTGCTCAGCACATGTACAAGTGTTTTTTCCACTTCTTTCTCTCTTACACAAATCCACTATAAAGCCACTAACTCCAAGGTGGTCCCATTAGGCCAACAGAGATGACATCATGTACCTCAGCAGTC